TGGATGGAGTGGAGTGACATTTCGCGGCTCTTTTCCTCCGGGGGTGTCTGCATGGTGCGGAGGAAATGGTTTGACTACCGCATCCGCGGTTTCTTTCAAGGCCCCACGCCGAACTTTTTCCTTGAGGTGGTGGCGAAGCGAGAAGTGGACGCATTTTTGACGCTCTCGCAGCGCGATAACCGCGGCCTACCGGGGGAGGACCCCGACGCGCTCTACAAGGGCCTTCTCATCAGCGTCTCCCGCTACCACTCGGAGACGGACACACACGTGCTGCACGCCAACAGCACGCTTGACCCGGAGGCACCGTCGCAAGACGCCTGCAGTTTTTACTTCACCCGAGATGTGGGCATGTGGGTGAGGTTTCTGCCAGAGCACTCACCGTATTACGTCTTCCCGCGTGTCGGGGAAAATTCAGCGGAATCGATGAAGGCCTTCACGTTGGGGCTTCTCTCGCGGCGGAAAGTGGGAAAAGGCGGGCTGCATGTGAATTTTAGGCGGTTGTCGACGTCAGAAAAGCCACTGGAGATCGGAATGCAGGCCGCATTGCACGCCGCACAACCGCAGCGTATGAGTTTTCAATACAAAAAACCCAAACGACCCGCTGTGCTCCGTGAGGGTGTGTCCATACAAGACTCGAAGAAAGTAACGTAGGAAAATTAGAAAAAAAAAAGAGAGATGGAGGAAGAGGAAAAAAAAAAAAAAATGGTAATAAATAAAAAGAAATAATAATTAAGACGCTATTAGCGATTTTTTTTTTGTCTCTTTCCCTTCTATTTATTAGGCAATCACGCTAACGATGGTATTAACCGTTATCTTTGTGGGCTCACCACACGATTTTATGGACTTGGTTATATTTGTGTGTCCTTTTCTTTTTTTTGGGGGGGGTTGTATGGGGGGGGGGTTCTTGTTTCTTTCCACGTGGCTATATTGAACAAATGGGCGTTGTAGAGATTGAAAGAAGGTACGGGGGATGGCCTTGACGTTGGCCAAAAAGACTTATACCAAGCCGTGTATCTTACAGCTAGAGGGACTGCATGCATTTTGCCTTTTTTTGTTTTTGTTTTTTCCTACGTACTATTACTTCCAATTCTGTACGTATGCGGGAAGAGTGTGTGGCCCAACGGTGCTAGGAAAGAAAAAGAATGTGTGCTTTGTTTAATCAATCTATTTGTTCTCCGGGGAATAAAATCATTGTTTTTTTGTTGTTGCTTTTCTTCAGAAATACCGCGCTGGGGGGCAGTGAGTAAAACTTCTCTTTTCGTTTCCCCCACCCCCTTTCCAGCCGGCCCACCCTCTTTTTTTGTGCTTCACGCGGAGGGGCTCTGCAACCACCGGACACTTTTAAAAACGCTGCCACCTCGTGGGCTCGCGATGTGCCCGGTTGTGGTGGATGGATGTATGAGCCCGTTGGTCCACTGCTCTGTGTGTGTGTGTGTGTGTGTGTGTGGCTGTGCTGGACAGGTGTCGCTTGAGGCGTGAGGGGATGTTGGGTGCATTGAGCCCGACTGTTTGCCTTCTCTTGTTGTCTGCTCGCACTCTCTGCAGGAAGGAAGGAAGAAGGGGACCGTGCCTCATCCGGCTGCACATTCACTGTTTTTACTGCCTGCCGGCTTTTCTCCCTCATTTTTTTTTCTGCCTATTTCCCCATAATGTGCCAGTCATTTTTTTATGTGTGTTTTAGTTCAAATTGTTGAGTTGAGCGTATGTTTTGTTTTGCGGTACGCGGGTGTGTATGTGGGAGGAGAAGGGCGTTTCTGCGAGAATTACAGGAGGAGTTTTAATCAAAATTAGCCGCAATTTCTTTTATTTTTATTTTTAATGTTTCCGCCTACAGCCTTGGGGTGTCTCTTTCTTTTTTCTTTCTTTTTTTGGTTTAGCGACGCAGGGGTTACGAGGGGTGGATGTTTATTTAGCGTGAAGGCGTGCCAGTTTGTGCGGTATCGATGCGATTTGTTTTTGTTTGTTTCTGTGGAAATGAAATCTCTTGTCTTCATTCCACACCTGTTTTTTTTTCTAATTTTTTAATTTTTATTTTGTTTGTTTGTGTGCATAAGCGCATGCAGTTAATGTGCGTCTATGCATGCGCTCTTATTATTTTTTATTTTTTTTGTCTTTTATGGCGCCCTATACGCCGGTTTGTCTCCAATAAACATGCGTGCCCCCTTTCCCCTTCTACCCCCATCTTTATTTGTATGGTTGCATGATTGCATGCATGCACACACACACAAAAAAAAAAAAAAAAAAGGAACAAATTATTGTTTATAATTTTTTTTTGTTACAAATCCGAGTTATTACAAATTGAAAACCAAAAAACAAAAACAAAAAAGATAATATTATTGCTGTTTAACAAGAGAAACGGTGAATTTTGGCGATTACTAAGCGTTAGTCGACAAATAAATTAAAAGGGGGAGAAAAAAAACAGGAAAAAAAAGGAAAAAGACCGCACGTTGAGGAAAGAAGGTGCAGGCGGTTATTATCACAAAGTGTGAGAATTAATTTAAAAGATAAAACAAAAAAACAAGAAGAAGAAGAAGGAGGAGGAGGAACAGAGGAATTTGACACGATGGGCTGCTGCGCTTCGAAGGAAAAGCAACCGAGGCCGGAGGCCGCTGCGGGGCCCACCGCGAAGCCCACTGCCGCCACCAAAGGGGACACGTCAAAGGCCCCCGCCCAGGCGCCCACGGAGGATGTTGTGAAGGTCGAGGGGGTGGTCCAGAAACGGGCAACTGTGCCGGAGGAGGTGCTGGAGCGATTAAGGCGAGTGATGGAGGCACGGCAGGCAACCTACAAGTATGGAAAGTGCACCGTGGAGGGTGGCGAGGGCTCCTCCTTTTTTCCTCCCCGAGGACTCTGCCACCTCATTAAGAAGGACGACACGTGGTTCCTACATAACGACACCATGAATTATGAGATGCATGTGAATTGCAAATTTAGCCCGGACTCCAGCGTCATTCCTCTCGGCTCCTCCATAAAAAAAGATGAGGAGGACGGCTCGGCTATTGTCTCTGCTGTGGTGTATCCCCTTGATACGGTTGAGTTCTTGTGTGGGGAAAAGGGAATGTACAGGTCGGATGTATTTGCGCAGGCACTCTCAGAGGAGTACCGGCAGGGCCTTCAGGTCCTCACCCAAGCTGCCACGGAGGAGCTGCAAAGAGTTATAGAATTGGCAGACGGCTCGGTTGACGAAGAAGGAATACTTTCCAAATGTATTGAAACAAGCACCCCTTATGTGGATCTGAGCTTTCAGCCCTCTGAAAAGATGCTTTACCGCCCCGATGTAGATGGCCGGCCCATTGCAGCGGTGGAGATCAGAAGGTCAACGGAATGTCACGGTGTAAACCGGAGAAAAGTTGATGCCATTTGTGGCACTGTCATTCCGCAGTGCATTGATCCTGGTCATTTGTGTGATAATTGGCTTATGTGTGCGGTGGCTGCCTTGGCAGAGGATGAGGAGCGTGTAAAGGAGATGTTTGCGCTTTGTAAACCAGAAGAAACGCACCTCGGTGCATATCGTGTTTCTCTCAACAAGAACGGGTGGTGGAAGAATGTTCTGTTAGACGATTTTTTGCCCACTGTTAATGAAGTTCCATGCTTCGCACGTGTGCTGGACGATCCATCGGAGTTGTGGGTGTCACTATTACAAAAGGCGTACGCCAAATTGCACGGATCGTACTCCAGCATCACGGGCGGGGATGCCTCACATGCCCTACGGGACTTCACAGGCGCTCCATCGTACCGTTTTGATGAGGCGTGGGTGAACGCCACCAAGGGGTATGGGGGTGTTAATGAGCTGCTGGGCAAACTCACACGCTACCTGGAGGCTGGTAACATTGTTCTTTTGAACACACCCGCGGGGAAGAGCACCAAGCAGAATGCAAAGCCCGGCTTGAGGGACGGTTACACGTACTGCCTGAAGGAGGTACGTCAGTTCCAAAATTTTGGCATTACGATGCTAAAAATTCAAAACCCGTGGGAGCCGACGGAGCCGTGGACAGGGGCATGGTGTGCGGGCAGCAGCGACTGGGACCAGTACGAGGAGGTGCGTCTTGTCTGTAATCCGGACTTTTCTATAAACGATGGGTCCTTCTGGATGGAGTGGAGCGACGCCACCAAGCAGTTTGACGGATGCAGCGTCGTATTGCTGTCACGAGATCCGGTGTATGACTACCGCGTGCGTGGTGAATTCAGTTACGTGGAACCCAATGTTGTCCTGATGGTGCGTGCCGCCGAGCCCGTGGAGGTGATGCTCACTCTCACGCAGTTGGATAAGCGAGGTGTGCCTTTGGATATGCCGGATGCGCGGCACTCCCCGTTGATGATCAGCGTCTCACGTGCCGAGGGCAATAAGCAGCTGGTGCACAAGAACAGCTCGGGTGATCCGGAGTCACCTAGCGATGCGTTCACGTTTGTCGTTTCTCGCGAAGTTGCCATGAATTACAAATTTGAGCCGAGCGAAGGGCCGTACTTTGTGCTTCCCCGCATTCACCGCAAGGGAACATCGGAGGGACGGCAGAAGGAGTTTGTTATCGGCATTCGTTCCTCCACGCCGCTGGACGGGAAGCTCGACATTCAGTTCACGAAACTCAGCGCCACCAACCCCGCGCTGCACAACCGCGTGTTGTTTGTCGTGGAGGACGCAGGCGAAGTCATTCGGCCGCTGCAGAAGAAAATGCCGGGAGAGGCGGCAGTGACAAGCGCCGGGAGTAAGTTGTCCACAGCGATGATCCCTGAGAAGCAGGAAGAAGAAA